CATCAACTACACAGAATGGTCAATATGTTTTCATACGTGGAACTTCGCAGTTTTGAATAAGTGTTTCAGTGACAACAATAATATAAGAAAATGATTTTCTTATGCACATTCTAAATTATACACTTGTTGCTCAGCGGTTCATTAATTAATAAATCAAGTTCAAAATATAACGCGAGAAAAACCTGGGCAGAAGAAAATGGCTATCATTGCTGATAGCCATGCTTAATGCTGCCTTAGAATGAGGATGTACATAAAGCTGATTATTCCAAAGATCTTTTACCAAATTTTCATCCAATAAAACCAGATCTGCCGTTCTTTTTCCTTCTGATGCCATCCTATAAAGTTCATTCAGTTTTCAGTAAATGAATTAGTAAAGTGAAACACTAAATTTCTATAGATAATACTTCCAAGATATACAAACCTGTTCCTTTGAGAGCCTTTCAAATCCCATACTTGCTTCACATTTCGGCGATAAAATAGATATTCCATAACCAAAACATCAACTTTCAATTGTTGACCATTGCTTTTGTTTTTGTAACAAATTCGGTATACGCCATAAACCTAAAACTATTTCCAAATATTAGCAAGTAGTAGAGACCTAAAGATCTCGATACTTTTTTGATTACCATCCAGATATAAGTATTCTCCAGTTGATGACTGTTTGTAACTAAATAATTTCCCACAAATTTCGTGTTAAGGTAGCCCTGCTTCACTACATTTCTAAGTTCATTAAAACATGAAGCTCTGCATTTTTTTGAAATTAGTTTTATGCTCCTACCTACTCCACAGTATGCTTAATTCTGCATGAACTATTTTATTTTTATTATCTATACAAGCAAGAAAGTACCTTGCAAAGTGTTGTCAATTTATTATCCGTCATAGCGGTAGACACATAGCTAAAATAATTAGGACCAAATTTCACAAATGACTGGATTTCGAACCAAGACATCTGCTTGAACACAAACCGATCATCCTGTGAACAATGCAGAAAGAAATTACGGAATTCGCTTACTTTCATCTCTTCTATAACATAAATCACTCGTTAAATGCTGCAATCTATTTTTTTTTCGTTTTTTTAAACTCATTCCCTTAATTCTTCATGCGGCTCTCATTTCTTTGGCATAAAAATTATCCAAATGACGATGAAACTTGCTTGTGTGCGATAAAATGAAGCTCCAGATTTGCCGCTCTGAGGACTCCAACTACGGGATGAGCTTAGCGACCTCATAAAACAATCTTCACCTTCAACAAACAACAACTTTCTCAACATATGGAATCTTTCAGCGTAATAAACCTGAAATGCAAATATGCAGCCATAATTTGCTGCAAATCACTTCCACTATAATGCATTTAATGACAATGATAATGGTAAAAAATCCAACAAATTAAAATATAAACCTCAAAATCGTGTAAAATCCAAAAGAGCGTCTCAAAGATTTTAATAAACAAATCTAATATGATCGTACCTTTACGTAATATTGCGCTCTATCATCAGCAAAATCAACTTCAATGTGTTCATAATTCGCCACTGAAACTGATTCCACTCTAAAACTAATAAGCTAAATTTCTCTTTTATAATGAAAAATAGAACTTCATTAAAACAAAATAATGAAATCCTTCTGATACCACTAACTTTAAATTTCGTTCTCGTTCTGCTATCACAAAGTTTTTCAAAAATAAACTGTGACTGCTGCAAGGATATTCCCTTGACTTTCTCTCGATAAAACGAAATGTTTGGTAATGTTAAAAATATTTTAAAAGTTTAAAATAGCCGTTTACTCAGCAAAGGTATTATAAGCAGAATCACGCTGCTTTCTTCGTTTTGTATTATATTCAACTGAAGATAAAGCATAAGCAATGATGGAACCAATATCCGGATGTGTTGCACCCTTACGATCGATCACATCACGCACGACAACTGCTGCTAAACCTGCTAAAAACAGTACATAAAAATGACATGCTACAAAGAAAGTATCACTAGATCACATCGAACTTGCAACCATATGTTAAGACTTCTAAATAATGAGCAGTATTCTTCTGATAGTCATCAAAAACAGCGCAAAGTTAAAGAAATATAAAATATACAGTCATTTTTCATGAGCGTAAACAAACCTGATGGGAGAGGCAAACTGAAGTGGCACTCAGCGAGGAATGGGCTCTTCAGTGGGATGAGTTCAAAATCTAAACTATTAACCTGCACGTGATTCACTGAGAGAGTTTGTTCGTTACTCACTTTATTTGCTTCCTGAATAATTAAACAAGAAAATGCCGAGGACTTTGGTAAGTCAAAATATTATATTTTTTTAAGCAAATGATTAAGAGCGCTATAATTTGCTGCAACTCTTACATCTATAAATATATGTCAAATGAGTAATCGGAAATAATTTCAGCGATCCAATCACTCCATTTTTTACACAGAGAAGAATGACTAATTTCATTCAACCTAGAAGATAACACCAGAGTTGGAATATTTAACTATATTTTCTTCTGCAGTTGAAGTGAATTCAAAACTTACCGTCGGAATACCACCACCATTACATTTTTTAGTAGTTCGAATCTGTTGAGAAAAATACTGACACTGTTCATTCCATAAATTTATTGCATGTTGTACAATGTATCGACAACGACAAATTGTATCAAAGGCCTATAATATTTCAAGATGTATAAAAAAAGTTTGTATTTCATTACCGTAGTCCATCAAAGAAAATTCGCAAACTTCACAAATCAGTTGGTATCTATAACTCTATAAACGGCATAAACAAAAAAAATTTTAGAAACACCTGAATATAAACAGCATCGTTTGACCGAACTGCTGTTGGTTCGCCAGCAAGCGCACCACTTGGGTCAAAACACTTTATTGTAGAGCTAAAAAATTATAAATATGCGGGAACATCATAAGTATGCAAAAAATGATGTCAAGAAAGACCAGATACTTTCAAATTACTTTACAGAAGAATGACCTGAAAACAGAGCAAGCGTCTCTTAAAATTTTTACTGCTTGTGCATGACATGTCGAATATAAGCTGTTTTCAGAATATTTTGATAAATTATCGATCTGCTCTGACATGATTTTGAACATGGCCGCTGCTGCTTCTTGTATTTCATTTTTTGATTCAGCGACAAATTTTCGAGTAAACATCATCGGTTCAACAGCACAAACCAATGGACTGAAGGTCACATGGAATGGACGCACCTACAAAACCAAATTGATTCAGTATACTCAATAATTACTGCAGCTGGAAGTTTGAAGTTTTAAAGCAATAACTTTCCGTCCCTTATTATTCCCGGAATCATCCATCAATCTGCTGTTTAAAATACTTTCCTTCTTATACACAGCTCAAAAGAGAAAGGAAAAGCAACCAGTAAGACTTTGAAAGTTGTCACCAAGTTGTTGAGAGCGATATTACGTTCATGTTGATGGAAACAACAATGTTCGCATTTCTAAACAAAAATTACTTTCAGAAAGAAAGCAATTATGAATTTATAGAACTCTCGTTAGTATAGTTTTTTCCATATTTTTATTATAAGGGACTAATTTAAGTAAGTTCTACTTTTCTTAAACTATTGATTTACTCGTCACTGTAGTTTAAAGGGAGCAATGTTGACTGCAATGATAAATTGATTTTGCATGTTCCATAAGTGAAGAACTCCGTTGCTATAACTGCAGTGGAGAACAACTGCATACCAACAAAGAGGCGAAATGAAGTTGTAAACGAAAGTGAGAAAAAAAAAAAATTCATCCATATTGTAGGAGAGCGTGGAAATGTTTAGAGATAGATAAATACCTTATCCTTTTCTAGTAACTCAATTTCCTATCGCAAACAACGTTATGAATGATGAAAATATTGTGCCCACCTGCGAAAGTGAGTTGATTTTACATGTTGCATATGCACCATTTGCTAAATAATTCAGATAACGAGCAAAACTCAACCGACATATACTTTCTGTCAGTGGGACTACGGAGGACGATGATTTACACCTGGGTAAAATAATATTTTAAAATACTGACTAAACATAACAATTAATGTACTGGAATTTTATAAAAACAAAAAGGTAAGCCTCAAATTTTCAAAATTAGTAAGGAACAAGACAAAAGTAAACTTTGAAATATAAATGAAGCTGTCTTTAAAGATCAGTTGATTTAGAAAAAGCTCGCCGTGAAAAATTGAAATCTTATATACTTTGGGCAGTAATGCCAGGCAAATAAGGTGTCGTTTTGCTCATCCAGTGTTGCGCTGTTAGGCTCACCATTTGAATGCACATAATTCTGCGTCGTGATTTCCACACAAACGTTCCTATGAACCAGTCTTCGAGAATGTTCCATCATTGGCAAATCACAGTTTGTAGATGGACATTGATATGCTCTGTTAAAACAATACCTAAAATGCTTGCAAACCCATAATAATGTGTAAAAAATAAAGTATTTATTCCATTTTTCTGGGAACGACTTTCTATCTTTAACAACACGAAATTTAAGCTGGAAAAGATTGTGGAATTCAAAAAATTTTGATGGAGAGATGACAAACTTTCTCAAGAAGTCACCCAAAGACATGTCATTAACGCCATAATAGTTCATGTTCACAACCCAAGGCCGAATGCAAAACAGTGGAGCATTCGACGATTTTGCACAGAATGATCCGAAAAGAACTGATATTTGTTGATGAGCAAACGGATCCAACACATCTTCAGTCTTTTTATTAGAAACTGTTTCTTTTCTGCAACAAATAATTATAACCAAGATACAATTTATTTGACCTTTGTACTCCTAACGATTTTCCGTAAACAGCGGTCATGTCATACAATTAATCTAACTTGAATATGAAATATTGAAATTTAATTAAAGTTGACATATGACTTGAACATCTAAAATTTAATGTTATAGCACATAAAGGTACTATTATCCTAAGAACTAATATCATAATTTCAGATAAATTAGTCTATCACTACAATAATTTTATTGAAAAACGGAACTTTTACTTTGCAGGAGAAAATTTTTTAACAATATGTAAATTAACCGTAGACGATCCCGGTTCTGGTTATTAATGCTGCATCGAAGCATACAGCCAGAAAAAGCTCGAAAAGAGGCGATAGCATCTTCATCCACTTCCGTCAAGGTGATATTTTTCACAAAAGGATGGACAGATTTTTTCAGCGGATAATTTTCTGTCGTACAGTCGGAGCTTTCCCTGAAGACCATTTCATTACAAGAAGCAGGATTTCTTCAAGAACGCTCAAAAAAACTTCAAAAATATACGAAATAGATGACTTTATTAACACGATATAATCAACTGTTCCCTTTTTATCATGATTTTGAAACAGAAGCTGTCGGAAAAACTCCGAAAATCATAATGCAAATTTTCTACCGGATTATGAAAATTAAAGCTACGTTCAAACAAAATTTCCATAATATCCAGTAATCGGGTGACGAAATTTTGTAAGTAAAATTAAAGCAATGAAGAGGATATAAGCTAACAATGGACAGCATAAAACAAAGACGTCTAAGTACCTACACAATGGACAGTGCCAAAGGGTAGCCATACCTCCATGACAGCCCCGATGGAGCTTACAAAGCTTCTAATCCATATGTAATCCATATGTACATATATATATACATAATATACATATATACATATATATATATATACATTGTACATATATATATACATTCTAATCCATATGTACATATATATATATATATATATATCAAAAAAAATCTCGAGACAGACAGTTGAGTTCACTTTTACAATCGAGCAGACGATACATCCTCATCGCTTATCCTCCGCGACTAACCCACAACCAATGATATCCTCGTATATCCGCCACCATTGGACAACAAACTACGATATTCTTCTATTCACTAAATACATTTCCCGTAACGTATTCCCAACTCAACGACCTATCATCTAATCGACAGTCAAATTATTGTCCAAGGGAACGAGGAGTTTGTTAGTTGATCATATTACTTGTTTTTTGTATAACTCATCATTTCTTACCAATCATCGTCATACATATTTTATACCTTTTTCTTGTTGTTAACTAGTAATATTATGCAAGAACAATACTACCTCCCGAATAAATCCGTATCGCCGAGAAACGAGTTCAACAGAAAAATAATTTCCCAACAGAAGCAGAGATTTATTCCAAACTACAAATCTCACCTGCTGTCATTGCTTTCAACTGATAAGCTGTTAATAAAACGACTGAAAAACTTTCTTAGTGAGCATCGTCGACCCTTCGATGTTTCTAGAAAGGGAATACCAAAGTTGATCAGTGGAGAAGGTGAGAGAGTGGACTTCTTTAAACGGTTACAGAAGTTATCCTGCAAATTTCTGAATTGGACCATGAAAAAGAAAACCGAAAGCTCTTAAGATTTTAGATACCCGCCTGACTGAGAGGACTATTAGAGTAATGACCTTGTTTGTATCCAGTTCAGCAGCATTAATGGAACAAATATCACAATCTGCGGATCGATTTGACAGAGTTGTACCACAGCTGGACAACAGCTTTACTTCAAGATGATTAGAATACAACGTAAGAATTGCATAATGTAAGATCCGTTTAGCTGCCCGCAAATCATTTTTTGAGTTACCCCGCAATAACACAGAGCATCCTAATTCTGGTGGGCATTCCTCAAACATCTGAAAAAGTAGATAAGTCTATTCATTTACAACAGGAGTATATTTTACAAAAACTTGAACACAATATTTCTTCAAAACAATCTTGAAATTTCAAGAACAGTAACTTTAACTGAAAATAATTTTCACCAGTAAACATTTGTATTTCCCATTCGCTAACTGAATCTTCTTTTGCCGAAAAAATGGACAAAATCCAATCTTTTGGTTCAGAATTTGTGCATCAAGTGAAGGCATTACGTCAGCTCCAGTACTTCTTGCAATCCTTTGCAGAACACGTGGTTTAATATTAGAAACAAGTGTGACTTTAGCTCTTAATAACATCTGTACAGCTAAGCCAGCTACATTACGCTCAACCAGTACCACTGATGGCCGATGTGAAAGCAATCGTTCCACCTGATTCCGTAAATATTCACTTTCCTGCAACTAATTAAGTCATTGCTGTAAAGAATGGATAACAATCAAAATTTAGAAAAAGGCATGAATCTCTAACCTAGAGTTGGAAAAAAAACTCAAGGAAGCTACATGATATCAGATGTATTTTGCAGCAGTAAAATTCAAACCGTACTTCTATTAGTTTATAGTAATTTAAGTTTCCAGAAATCCTAAGTTATTCGAAATTTCACCTGTGAAATTATTGGTTCAATTGAAGAAAGCTTATCGTTAACTCGTTCATATTCGATGCTCCCTTCCAAGGTTAAAACTGATGCATTACGAATCTCATCTGGCATCGATTCATGGCGGATACTTTTGCTACACACTGCCCCCTCTATTACCTGAAACAAATATTAAGGTGCTGCTAGCAAGAATTACTTATAGTCAGGATTTTTTGGATGAAGCAATCAACTTGAAAATGAAGTCAAAACTCTCAATTCCGCCCACCTTCACGCATAATTTTCGATCACCTACACATAATGAACTAATGAGCATAATGAACTTTTCTTGCTGAGCAAAATTATATCTTTTAGAATTGCAAGCGGTTTCTTCTTTTTAGCCCCTGAGATATTCTTTCCTACACTATTTGTCCGAGCATCCACAAATGCATACCAATTTTACATTGCTTATTAAAGGGATATCATAAACTAACCTTCGCGGAGGGTTTTTCAACTGCAACATGAAGGCTTTTGATGTGAGCATGTTTCATGACATTAACATTTTTTCGTCCCTCCATATCAACTTTAACCATTGATGATACAACATGGCTTACGGACCATATGATTTCCCACCACCTAAATCATTATTTTACAGATCTTTCTTCACTAAATGAGATTCAGATCAAGAAAGTGTCGGTAGGTCAGCATATTGTCTCCGTAATGATGAACGAAATGCTATTTACAAATTACTTGTGGCATCCCGTATTTTACAGACCTGAGCAATTGTCTTGATTTCTCAATGGAGAACTAAATATGTAGTACACCAGCGACGTGTAATGTCATAGTAAAAGTGAGTTTAGACTAACAAGATTAAGAAATTAAAGCAAACTAACTCTCTCGGATCCAACCCTTCACGATTGAAAAGATGCAAAATAAGTTTTTCGGATTGAATTTCAAAACATCTTTCAATTGTTTCACAGAAACGAGGATCTTCATCTTCCGTTTTCGATGTCGGAATTTGTGGTACTATTTGTTGATCATCCAATTCAGCAACATGACAGTTTGATCTATCATCGATGTCCATGTCATCTTTTTGCAACGCTAAGTGTGGATAATCCACTGGTTCTGGTTTCTGAAAGAAATCGTATTAAGTTCGATTAACTCGAAAAAGCTGTGAGAGTAAATTTAGTGCTCTTAAGAATAAACGTGAAAGAGTCCTTATCAGAAAAATAAAAAATCATAACATTCGCAAATTTAAGAACCAACTGTGATTCACTGAAAAACATGAAGTACGTAAAAAACATGACACACAAAAATTAATAGCACAAATTCACTGCAACTTTAGTACCTCTTCAGAGGCATCCGTAGTGAGAATGTTTCCCAAACAGAAATAGATATTAAATTTCAAATCCTTTTCTTCTCGCATTACTTTTGCTGGGGAAAATTTTCTCAAACAGCTAACCAAGTTTGATGAATCCACTGGCTTCACGTTATCAGTCATTTCAATATTTTTCACCCACTCCGGTTCATGATCATCGCCAACATCATGAGTAGCCGAACACTGAACACCTGAGTTATATATAGCTAATTCCGCTACAGAAAGTTGAGTAGGCGAATCAAGTTTCATTGATGGCTTTCTTGGAACTGCGTGTTGAAGTGGTGTTCCATTATCATTATTCCCATCCGTAGCAATAGATGAAATCGGTGACCAAGATACTGGTCCTGCAACGTGTATTGTAAGTTATGTAAGGCTTCATTTTTAAAAAATCCCGAATTCGAGAATAAATTTACTGTTACTAAACTTTTTTTCAGAAACTTTATTCCATATAGTTTTAAAAGTCATAAAATTTCAATGCCAAATCTTTTCCAAACTACAAATGACCTGCAAAAATCGTTGATACCGAAACGTCTGTCTCACGTGTCGATTTTTGGTCACAAGGTGGTGAACTGGGTATGTCCTCTGATTTTGATTCTGTTTGCGGTAAATTCGAAACTACAATGTGTGCACAGTAGGTACACAACCTTAAATCGCCCGTATAACCTGGAAAAAACAGATTGTGAGATTTGTGATTCTTTCTACATTGCTGTTTAATAATTCCACGAAAGATTCACTTTCATCTTTCATGAAATCCAACCTAGGCATCATATGATATGCAGGTGATACCCAGACATTACCGAAATAAGGGATATACTTGAAATTATAAGTAAATGATAAGAAAGGTTTTTTTTCGTGAAGACGAACCAATCACACATCTCCTTTAAGGAACCCATGTCTACCACCATTAGCATGGAAGTTAAAAACTTTCTTTTCAGTGCGGATATATCCTCAATGTTTATTCAAATCGCTTAAAAATAAGACATTATTCCAAAGCAAGGAAAATAATTTAAGCAGACCCAATAATGATCCAGAGACCTGGACACCACAACATTTCGAACAAAATATTTGCCCACATAAACGGCAGTGGTGTCGCCTTCTGAAAGGAGTAAACCGTTCCTGGCATTCGTAACATTCCCGTCCACTTGAATCTGGCATCCAATAACGCCGAAAATCACTCCTACAAATGAATCTATGACTATCAGGTAGGAAAAACTTGCCAAATTATGAAACATTATTTCCGAAAATCGCTGCTGTAGAACAGTGTTTCTTTAATAAACCTAACCTTTCATAATCCAGGAGATCTGGATTTTGTCCTTTGAAAACAGACGCAAAACGAACATATGATCCTCTTTTCTCTTCCACAGTATCACTGCCATTTTCATTGTCTTCCTTTGAATTTACACCAATTTTGTCAGCTTGATTTTCTAAAAATTCTTGAACATGACACATGAATAGCTGTTAAATGTCTTACCAGTTATTGATATCAAAATAATAAGTACATCCGAATTATCAAAAGCCAAGTGCGGACGGCAAAAGTGAAATAACAAACAAATCGTTCCTTCTACTGTTGGAAGAAAGAAGTTAATTAAATAAATCATTCAAGAATTCGTCTATTACCAATCAAACAAACAAGTATTTCTCCTACACACAGAATAAGAAAATAAAGAACAGAAAGGACATGAAGTTGAACTATCGCTGGCAAATAAAAGAGAGGAATTTCGATGCAGGTAAATACGCATAAAGTAAAAGCTTTACCTGTAGCAGTGTTTGGCGTCTCTCCTACTTCTTTGTGTCTGGATCGATCGAAATTACTGCAGCTTTTAGACGGTGAAATCGACGTGGCGGTTGCATCTACAGCATTATCCACCATATTGATGTCTTTGGATGACTTGAAAATTCGATTGAAAAAGTTGCCGAAAATACCGGCTGAAGTGGATGCTACCGCTTCATCAGCCAATTCTTCAGGATGAGGAGCGAAATAGGTGATGTATGCAGTAGCATCATCAGTTGGTGCATCCATACCTTGAAATTACTGCTGCATTAAAGATACCTTAACATCATGCTGAATGGAATTTCATTGAGAAGAAGATGAAATGATGTGTAGGAGCCCTATCCAAAGCTGATCCAAAGTGCTACATACAATGTGATGAGAATGAGGCAAGCCAATTTATAATACAGTCCGTGTGCTCTCAGCGTTCTTGCCCAGAAAGAGAGCACATTGAGTGAAAATGCAAATGAACCGTTTTAGAGGACATTAAAAGTCAACTTGAACCCAAATTCTGAATTCAAAAACTACAAAACTTCACCAACTGAACAAAAAAAATAAAATCATTAATCATCAGGACTGAAATTAACGGACTTCGTTGCGGTACCGCATTAAAAAGCACTCGATTAGTTCATATTATTTTGTTACTTGTAGTTTGACGAGGGGTTGAGGGTTTTATAAACTTCTTCAGACCTTACAATTCTTTTCAAAGAATAATGATAGAAGGCAATCCTAATTGTCGTTCGTTCCTGCTATCGCAGCAACTGAATCACAGAACGTGTTCATCAAGTCGTTCGTTCGTTGTGTGTTTACTTTTCGAAAGTTACCAGTGAATACGAAAATACAAATAAATCAACGAATGTACTTGGAAAGTTCATGACTGGAGTAGACCAGGAGAAGATTACTTTAGGATTTCAAAGATTCAAAACGTATAACTCATCCGAGGCTTTAACTTTTCATGCGAACGGAGAAACATGCGGATACCAAACAAGTAAAAGATAATGAAATTAAAATCTTGCATCTTTCTTTAATTTCTGTTAACCTAAAACGTATGATTTTTGAATATCTTCTCGGATATTTGAGTGGGATGTTTGAGATTATGTTGGGAATGGAAAGGGTGACTAAATATGGTACACCATGGATGAATGTTCATACCTGTACACCTTCGACGAAAAGGCGAGGAAAAAGCGAAAATCAGTGCTACTTCATTCAGAAGCCGCAAGTTGGTTATTTACTGTTTACTAGGCTATGCCTGGGACAATTCTTCATAAATATAGAATGTAATTTTATATTGTATGATTCGAACTTCTGGAAAATCTGGCAAGGTGTATATTTTTTTGAGAAACAGTAAACGGAAGTACGGTGCTTCCGATAGTACAGGTGCTGGAGGGACTGAGTTCTGAAATTCTGTGTTCTAGACCTCCAACATTCCTGAATGAGGTTGAATTGCTTTTTATCAAGGTAGGAGAAAGCGAGAAACTTATTTGCTGTCTTATAACCTACACTATAATTGAGAAGTTTGGAAACGATATGTGAGAGTTTGAAAGAATAAGAAGGTGGAATGTTCATGCGAAACTCTGAGGAGATTGCTTCCTCTGAGAATTTTTTCCCATGACTGCTGATGTCGCTCACTTCTGCATATTAAGAAGTTATAGTAGTGGTGAGTTTATAAACGATATAGGATATTAACTAAAGACAGTCGCCATGAAGTAGGGACTGGCCTTCTTGAGCTTATTCTAGCCTTCATCCCTGAACACTTTCATTTTTATTTTTCACACGAAAATTCACACAGTTAGTTCCAGACCGGACTTAGTAATCTCTTATCTGTCACCTAACTCAGTGTAGTCCATAAAAATAAACCATCTCCCAGTAAATGCAGCTTCCTCCTGTTTTCAATTCCAAGTTGTGAATTTGAAATTTATTTGATTTTATGTTAGCACTCCATCGGCACGTAATAACGTGCTGATTGCAATTAGCATGTATTTTTTGATCGTAGTATTTTTCTGAACAAAGTAATAGCAATAGCAGGAAGTAATAACTATAGATCTGGTTTGAATGATTTGAATCGAGCTTTGGATTATATGGAATTCTCTTTGTGAATATTGTTTCTACTTCAAACTTTGTCCTTTAATTGCTTTTTTGTTTTAACCTCTCTGTTTTACCCATCAACAATGGTCTACTATAATATTTTGTAGTGCTATCATTCTTGATTAAAAGTTTTGTATGTGTTTTGGATGACTATTTATTTATTTTTTTTGTGGCAAATTTATTATTTCCTTCCCTGTTTCAGAAATTGGGGTTTTTCTAAACTGTTGCAATCTTTTGATTCATTTTTCGATATCCCGTAACAAAGTCACTGTCAAGTCTTAAAATATCTTGAAGTTTAAAATTGTCAAATTTAAATTGTAGTAGGCTACAAAAAAAAAAACAGATCACAATTTGTTGTGATGAGAAACAATCACAATCGGCAATAAGTGTTTATCGAAATAATACATGAATTTATTGAATTTATGACTTTACATAAATTTATTTGGAAATCATGTTAAACACTAACTTCGGGACATATTTTTAGGATTTCGTTTTCTCCTACCTCGGATTCTACTGCACTCACTGTTTCTATCATGCAGTAGTAATTGCAATATTTTAAATTGAAATTTGGACTTAATGCACTGAGTAGACATCTGAACATCAAACTTGAGGTCAGTATTTAACTTCAAGTTCAATTTTTTTTTCATCACATTCAGTTAATTATCCACAGCATTATCTACCCTTTATTCCTAATAAGGATAAATTTGCTTACCTTATCGATCTTGTCGAATCACTCGTCGTATTTGTACTGTTCATCTTTTACTGCAGATGTATTAATTAAATTTATCACCCCAAAAGGTATAGCTCCCTATTTCTTGAAATCTGTGATATCTATTATTTTCAGCGACTGGTGTAAGATTGCTTTGAAATCCGATAACCCGATTTCTTCGATCTATTATACTCCGTAACATATCACCATGTTATAGCAAACGATTGCTGTCAATTTCGCTATTGAACTTGTAGTTGCATTTTTTTGCTGCCACTTTTAAACTGGGGATCAGCTGTAGGTAATGCACTGAGCCATTATTGTGCTTGTTAGAAGAAACCTATTTGAAGATCTGCTGTTCTATTTTGCTGCTTCTGATTTGACAAGAGTGGCTCTCGAATTTTACATTTATAACTGACGAAAGTTGTTGCCCTTACTCTTCCTCATTCTTTTGGAAATATTCGATTTCAGTTAGTAAAGCTTTTGTGAATCTGTTAAACTTTGATGTACTTTTGCTTTATTTGATCGAATATTGTGTTAGGAAATTCGGAAATAATTTTTGCCACATTATCTAATGCATTATTATGCATTTTTATAATAAACTATTAATAGGTATATCTTAATAGATAATATCAATTATGGTGTGCTTTTTCTTTCATATCTGTTATTAGAATATTAATAGCATTTTCCTAAACTTGAGTCTGCAAAATGAGATGCAGATGAGAAAAGTGAATTCTGGCAGGTGTAGAATTTTTATTTAAAGAGGTTTGAGAAAGTGAACTCCTTTCCTATGTCCTTTAGTTTTTGGTACACTGATCTCGACATATCAGCATAATAAGCAATTTTAATTTGTATCTGATTGTCTATATATGTGATTATTGGTAAAACGACTATATATGTGGTAATTGATAAATTCAGCTTTGATAAAAGTGGAAAGCCAGTAAATGATCTGGCAATCGAGCCTATAAGATAACTCTTACGTAGCTATCTTATTTTTGATTCTACATGGGATTTCCGTGCCATTGATTTATCTACAATTCTAATTTCTCCTTTGATTTCTTTGCTTATTACTACTCGTTCAACAATTAATACCAGAATCCTCATTGCAGAAGTCATTCTGTAATTTTTCTCGCATTTGATGTTAAAAATGCGGTAACATATAAGCAGATCTGCATCGAAACCTGATAATTTTCTCTTGGATAAGAATATTTCATTTACCAAAATGTGGTTTTTATTTGTTCGAGATGTTATTGGTTTCGATTAAATCGAGACATTTTTAAAAAAATCTGTGTGTGTCTATCAGCTGTTTCGTATCAATCTCCGCTGTTGATGATTCACGGTTGAAGAGTTGCTTTCAGTTAAAAGTATTTATATACGAATAATAGTTACTTGGTTTAGATGTGGTTGGTTTAGATGTGGTTTTGCACTCGATTATCTCCTTAATCAGTCGCCATTCATTTTATTGCTTGTTTCATCTATGAGTTATATAAAGGTGTTGCTATACAGCCCGTGTAAATCACCAAAAACAAGGTACTGGTTTCGTTTTTTCTTTTTTCTTTTTTTTTTTTTTAATAGAATGCTATGCATTATGACTTCTTACCTGTTTTTTCGTCTCATTATATTATGATTCAGAAAAACAGTTTTTATATTGCCACCTATATAGTTTGGCTATGCCCTGATTTCTGTGGTTTACTTCATCCTCAAATTTCTCTGGTCCACTTAGTCGGTATACAAAATTTTATTCATTTGCTCAATCATAACAAAAAGATAAAAGAATAAAAACGAAACCTGTAAGTTGTGATGTTTATTAGCATCTCGTGTTTATTCGAATAGCCATAGTCTGAATCACAACACAGTCTCGAACAATTTCAAGAAATTTATTCTCAACTGCATTTGCCAATTTTAAAGTCCTTCATAATGTCACTTTTGTCATATTTAATTCTCCGTACATTTCCGTCATAATTTCTGTTCTCGCTATTCTTCCACCAATCATATAATCAACCATCTTAGTCCATTGATCGTAAAGCTTCGTGAATCGATATACATATTATATATATATATATATATATATATATAATTCTGTTCTGTATAATATCAGATGTAGTACAAAAGTTAATTATAATTCGCCTTATTAATTCAGATATAGGTTCAATTTATTTTTCAAAATTTGTGAAGGCAAGCACTGACTCAAACTTGTATTATGTTACAATGCATTTGTTATTAGGCTAAAACAGCTTTTTTAATTCAAATTTTTTTGCAGGTGAGGATTCCATTGGTTTGGAAGAGAAAACGTTTCTTTTGTTTGGTAATAAAATCAGGAAATATAACGTCAGTATTTTGATAGATATCGGTTAGCTGGATAGCAGTTTGTGATGCATATTTTTACCCTCCGAACGACAATTATTGCTCTGGTCCTGTTAATAAAACTATGACTACAGCCGTTCGTTTCCTGTTTATTGATAGCTGAGGCACACGGATTTTCCCGTAGCAGTTCTAAAATCGAGCCTGATAACTAACTGATTATCATTATTCAACTTTTTTTTTCTGCGGTGAAACCTTGTGAAAGACAGACTAGACATTTTAATTTATTTTTCTTTATTTTTCTTTGTGCAGTTTATTTTATTGTTGCTGTTACTACAGTACTCATTCTATCCACCGAAATTCACCACACAATGTGGCAGCCTTCTGATGAGATATTGCCCAGTTCGGAATCGAAAAATAGTGTTTGCACCAAATCACTGTTACATAATTTAGTAAAGTCGCGTCGTATTGGAAGTGCAAGCTCAAGCTCTTTGGATCAACAAAGCAATAGTTCGAGCTTGGAATCCATCAAATCATTTGCTTTGGATGGCAATCAAGCCTTATCTACGTCATGTTCCGAAGATTCCTTCGAAATGTCCGGTACAACTTCGAGACAAACTACTGAAGATCCTTCACAACTATCGCATCAGAGTTTGAACTTGACACCCGGTTTTCTGGACTCAGAAAATCCAGTGCAACCATCGAATATACCATTCGATTATCACGATCAAAAATCCTCTGAATGCAACAATTCAGATCAGATGTCGAGAGATAGTTTAGAACCATGTAGCTCGTTGGAAAAATCCAGTTCACTGAAAAATATAAACTTTTCAACAAAAAAGAATCCACTAACCTTAACAAGCTATCACCTTGACCGTTTCAATAAACTAAATGATGTCCAAGAGATTTCTCGGGATGAGGTAACTGTGAATCGAGATGGAGCAAAAATTACCGAATCATGGCCTATGCATCATGCCCTCCCAGGTACATGGAAATGCAAAAATTCCATCAAAAGGGATAAAGCTTCTTTGCGGGAATTTATCGACAAGGAATTAGATAATTTAGATACATGTTTACCACAGCTGGATTTTAATAAACTTGAAGAAAAACTGAGTTGCGCAGCAATGGAACGAATAGTAACGGAAAGAAAATTACTTGGTGAACAGGTTAATTTTAGTTTCTCATCTTGGATTCATCCTAAATTATTTGTAATATCAGTATTCTTAGTTATTGGCATATTCTGCATGATATCATTTTTTTGAGAGACTGCTTACAAGTTATTACAAAAGGATTCATAATGAAGCAAAACTGCCCATTGTTTATGTAACCATAAACTGTACGACAAGATTGTCTCCAAAATCCACTCCCAAATCAATGTAATGCCAATCATATTGTAAATGAAGTCAGCATTTTTGTTGTTGTTTTGATAAGACACTGTATTAATTTGTTAGGCAGTTTCTAAATTAATTTGACCCGACTCATTTTATATGAACTTGGCAAGGCAGTTCCAATAATTTTAAAAACCTAGATGATCTTAAATGAAAATTCCAGACTAAGTTTATATTATTCCTTTTTTGCTATTTTAATTCATTCCTTTCCGAATGAAGTAAATATACTTTCTTTCAAAACAAAAATCGTACTAATGCTAGCAGGAGATAGTTGGATTTAGCAGTTCTTGAAGTTTTTATGGCACTGGATTTTTCATGCTTAAATTACCATTTTGATTCGTGCTTTTATTGCTCTATAAGTGAATCCTTTTGCTCCTAGCTGTTTTTAATAATTGACATTTTGAATTTTCATTTACTTCATAAATCTGAATAGGCTTTTAATGAAGTAAGATGCGATAACAGAGATATGCCAATGGAGTTGCTTATTACACATTTATTTCAATTATTAAGACTATGATATATATATATATATATAACGATGATGCTCATCATAATTTTATGTATGACGTGTACAATATAACTTTAACAGGACTTCTGAAAGTTGTAAAGAGCTATGAAAGTATGAAGTAATCCGCGTAATTGAGTTTCTTAGTGATGGTAATATGTTTTCAATGAATATGACTCTGCACATACTTTTTTCAAATATGTCTTCAAGAATAGTTAACCGTTGAACCTTTCTTTTATGTTTTAATTGTTGAGCTGCAAAGTTCTGCGCTGGGAAAATTATTTTCAAGTACTAGTTTTAGATCCATGAACTATTAGCTGGAAAAAACTTAAACAGGCAGGATAGACAAATAATGTTACAAAAAGTTTTATTATCATTGTACAATAATAGATGATCCTAGTGTACAATTCTTTCATTATATATAATTTCTTTCTTTATATGTAATTAATACAATCCTTTTTCACCCTATTTGAAATTTTTACGGTAAATGTGACTGTTGGTAGGTACGTCGCCGTTTAGCACTTCAAGTGGACCAGTATACAGCAGAACCAGCACCACGAGTTTACACAAGGCCATTGAAGTCAAATCTCGGATTTCGCTTGCAGACAGCCATGAATTTGCAGGTGATTTTACAATCTTGAACAGAAATATATATTATGTGGAGTCGATTGGACCGATTTTGTTTTAAATAGTTAGAAGGGTGTTTATTTTTCCTAATCTTTCCGAAAAATATGCTCTCTATGATTTTTCATATTTGTCTAATAATTATTCCATGGTAACAAATTTTTCCACATTCTTTATAAGTGATTTGCCAATGAATCTTATTTTCCAATATTTTTACGTGTTTATTAGGTCTGCTATATTAATGATCTGAAAGATGAAGAAGAAGACGAGGAGGAAAGTTCAGATGATGGCTTTTCTATGCCCAAATCGAAGTCTGCACCGAATCTACGAAGTTCGGTGATCGATGGTTCCAATTTGAATGCTTCGCAGTTACGTCAAGTTATGTCGACGATAGGTAAGAATATATATGTTGGTTCCAAATTATAAAGTCAGTTTTCATCGTAACTTTTCATCAGTTTTCTATCATGCAAAGTTATTTGCTTACTAATATATGGAAGTTGTTTCTGCTTGATGCTCCATACGAATTGACTCAAAAATGCCTCCTTTTAAATTTCATCTCTTTTTTGCCGAAACAGTTTGGACAAACAAACAAATTTCTACCCTAATAAGCTCTATTATTTTTGTGAAATCTTTGACACTTTTTGTTATAAACGCCTTTCTTATCGGTTTATTGTTCATTGTGCTTCCTGTAAACTTCTGTTTGGTTTGTTTATCTTTCCTGAAGTCCTTAATCAGTATTTTGAATTCTTCGTTGATCTTTTACTGCATTTCATTAGGGTTGCATGGGTGGTGGTCTGTAGCCGGGTGGGTTGGAAAGATCAGAATAACATCGGGTTCGAATGACCCAGTGCCGTGACAGGGTAGTGCCAAGAAGTCAAATTCCTGTGAGAACGTATAAATTCAGCTTACAGGGCTAAATTCTTGGTAAAAAATTGCTGTCTTCGTCGATCCTTCGCTGCTTGTAATTCAAGGCAGCGGAAATTTGCCACAAAGACACAAGGCTGAGCAAAATGTCAAATTCGGAACTCATTGATTCGGGATATGAGAAAAATGAGTGAACATCGGATTTTACAATCTTGTGACATTTCCCTCGTTTTTATAGAAGACCAGATTATTTTGGATAGCAAATAGAAATAAAACCGGAAATGTAGCGCGTTTAACAACTATTTTGCTCTTATTTCCAGCATATCTATTCCTGTGGGGCGATCTTTTTAGTGGTGATAAGTACAATTGCACTTATTTTTTGTTAATTATGCAGAAGAAAAACGACAAGTTTTGGAAGAGGAGACCAAAATGATGCTTGCGAAGGCGAAACAAGCTGCGAGGATGCAGATGGAAATCGAGAAACTTAACACAAATCGATTTACCACAGCTATCCCCCCGAAAGCTTCTAGGTTATCATATAAATTTCTCTTGCCTTCTAGAAATGCAAATTTTTAATTTTCTCCAAATTACATTTCTTTATGTTACATTTCACGACTGTCTTGTTTTTCAAAACGCTTGTAGTTTTGCAGAACCTACTTTAAAGCACATGAATTGAGTTTTCAGGTTGCAGTTATCGAAGATGACACGTCAGCAGCTCATTGAAATAAGTAAAAAGATTAGCAAGCGTATTAATGGTACTTCTTTTTAAAAATTTGTTACCGTGAAAGAGAGTGCAATCATAGCGAGCAAGACGGTGCAAATTCGTCAGATTGTCTGAAGATATTAAAAAAAAAATATTAAAAAGTGATTTAAAAAAAGTGAATACCTTTTTGTCATTAAAGAAATAGGCCATGAAAAATTTCTGACAAAGCCTAGAGGGCTATGTAGATAGAGTTAAGGCTCTGCTTAGCGAACTTAATGAATATAGTATTTTATTCTGTGAATCATTATTTGCGACGATGAAACTCGATGACTTGAGCGATTAACTGAAATGTATTTGTTTTTCATAATTTCAGTAAAATGACACCACTAATTTGTTCAGAACAATTAATTATTTTATGCTACTGTTTGTAGAAGAGAATGCGGAATTAATGAGGCTACTAGTTGAAAAAGATTCGTTGTATATGCAGCAGGACTCGATGCTTGTCGATATTGAAGATATGTTACAGTAAGTTATTCCCAGTAATTCAGCAAGATGCCCTTCATGGTACTTGGTACTCCAGATATATTAAATTGTCTCTTTTTGTAGTGGTGTTATAATCTGTCTTCTTAATGCCGTCTTCCACTGAAATCTGATGCTGCAAACTTTCCCAGGAATGTAACATCTTTTAGATATTATTGTGGTCTTCCCTCCCATTAACTGACAGTAAATTATTGTTCACTTAACTTAAATTGTCTCTAAACTTAAGTTAGTAAGTTGCTTTTCAGTACATTACCAATCTTTACATTGTAACATTTTTCCAAGTAGATTCTGTAGAAATTGCAGGAAATAAATCCCCCTATATCAAAAATCCTGAATGTAAAATTCGTGAAAAATTGTTTAACGATTTTCATTGGAAGACGGCGAATGAGAAAAGAACTCAACCTTATTTATTTGTGAAAGACTGAAGGACCTCATTATAACTGCACTGTTTTCATTTTGGCTATTTTACTGCAAACTTAATGTATAACGCTCTTGTAATTTGATGTTCTTAAATCATAAACATTCATTGGAAGAACTTATGTCTAACCTCATTTGGGTTGGAGTTATACTATGATGGCTCTTGAGATGTTCTTATACTGAGACATAATAAATTCATTTCGTTCCTTCCTTGTGTTTGAGGGGCATTCTTGCTTTCATGTTATTTTGTTGGCATTTTTTCGCTTTTTCATTTTATTCAACTTTTCTTAGCATTACTTCGACCTCCTTTTCTGCGATTTCATAAGTTTTGGAAGAGCTACGTTTCAGGCATGAGAGCAGCGCAGAATCGCTGAATTTGCCCGATTTTTTGAAGATACAAGCAAATCCACCTGTTGTCATGTCTAAATTTCGCACTTTCAAGGGCTAAATTTTTTTTTATATTTCTCTTCATTTATCACTCACTGCGGTGGTGATCTCAGGAATTAGTACTCGTAAGGAAGTAACGACTTGCTACTTAATCGTTATGCCTCATTCAAAGTGAACTCAGATCAAGATTAATTCTATTCAGAGCACTGTTACAGCCGTTGAAGTGAAGAACATTATAGCTTTAAATACTGTCTTGAAAACTTATTATTTTCCCTTAATCGTCTGATGCATTCATTATAACTAATAGTTAACACTACTACTAACCGGCTCTTTAATGTGTAAATCAATACCAGATAATCAGTTTTCGCTTTTTCTTATAGTTTTCTTCTTTTCTAATTTTGCATTTCTTAATGCACATGCTACTGTTTTCTTTCATTTGTTCTAGTAAAAAGCGTAAAAAGACGTTGAAATGGTAAAGTGCAAATTGGTTAGTATTGGTGAATTAAATTTGGTAGTGATGTCCTTCTGTATGTAGCCATCATCAAATTTCTGATTCCAAGGTGCTTGAGGGAGAAAAAAGTTTTCGTTTGCGACTTTGTTACACTAGCACAGAAATTTGTCCTATTTGCTTTCAGAACATTTGATCAAAAGAAATTAAATTTGATTGCTGCCAACCACAAATCCAGTGAACTTTCCTTGCGGTCTTTTCTTCAGTTAAACTTAGAAAGTGAGGCTACAAAATTGGTTGCAATTCGAAAAACACTGTCATTTCTTGTTCCCCGTGCTAGTTAACCTTTTTACTGAATCATCTTGAATCATTAACCTGTAAACATGGAATTTAATTTACTACGAAATTTGATTGTTTTAGTAACCGATAATTTTTGTTATTGCTGTATTGTTCCATACGGTCAAACAATAACAGAAACTTATCTTTAGGGATGTAACGTTTTGAGTGTCTTTTGATTAGATAAATTTTTGTCGCATATTTTTCCATTTTCGATCAATGTAGCAGTTTCAACATCCCGTTTTTTACCGCTGACTTTCTATTTATAAATATCTCTAGATGTCGTCCACATCACAGCTTCCGAGATTTTTATTAAGCAAAGTGATAAGGTAACATAAACATGAGAACTTTTTGCATTAAGGCTGAAACCTCGACACACTCTCGTTTATGAAATTATGCCAACCTCGGTGCTAGTATTCGAACTACCAAATATTTTAAAGGATTTTTCTCACCATCGAAAATAGTTTTCATAATTTTCGCTTATGGCAATAAATTTTTCGCTAAGAAACCCAGTGATGCACAGTAAAAGTCACTGGTTATAATATGATTAGCTCAGTATTTTAGAGATTCTATTTACTGTTGCGAAGTGTAAAAATTTCATCACTGAACTGCAATGCATATAATTGGCTGAAAAAGTTGATTATTGCTAAAAAATCAGAACTAGATTATCGGTCGGCGGTTGAATTACCAGTGCCAGTAGGATCGCCAATATTTGGATACACTTGTGGGCAGGTACCACATATTCGAAGAATCCGAGTTTCACTATTGCAAATAAATGAACAACTGGATGGAGTCTGTAAACAATTTCATACAATTATGAAATCAAATTTTTTAAACCACTGGCTTGAAAATTTATAAAGGAGTGACAACACCCGTGTACCCAATTCAACAATTTAGATACGGACAAAACCATTGAATTTGTTACGTCATTTTTACTCATCAAGTCATGTCAGTGGTGCAGTTTGCACTGTCATGAATCTCGAACTTTATCAGAAGAGAGTGTACCAGCTGTTGATCAAAAGATCTTTTGGTCTGCTTCTACGACTTACCAAATCAAGAGTTTAAGAGTCACTAACATGGTCGCGACTATTTTCTCAATCCAGAGTACAGAAAATATTTCCCGAGGGATGTATATCTTGTTGTTAATACTTTTGATACTCACCTCACAGGTAGTAATGTTGCTCTTAAACGGAACATTGCACTGCCACGGTTCAAAGCTGTGAATGTGTAGTGAACGTGTTGGTTGTCTAATCCATTTCAGTGCTTGTGTCGCTGTTACAAAATATACATCTGAGTTCTTTAACATCTGGAAAAAATCATAAGAATGACTGCTGGAAGTTATCATAGTTATAATATCTAAGATCTGTTATTGAACTGCTGATCAATGAGTATCAATAAGATTTAGAGGTGTCAAAAGGAAGAAAGTAAAGCCTGGACTATTGCTTAAAATTAGTATGTTGTCACAGGATGGATATATGGGAAATGTTAATAAGCAATTCAATTGAATAATGACACCGAAATATGATTAAAACTGTTTGGGAGAAGCCAAGTATGTTCGCCATCGACATGGCTGGAGATACTTTGTTGGATTGTTGGATTTTTTCATCCTAGGCAGCGTCCTGTTGTCCTATTAACAAAGTTCCTCCAATCCTTGTTTTACATATATATCCGCCAATTTAGTGACAAAGTATAAGAAGATGTTCGCAGAACTTCGTCGTCTCTAGTGAAATAATGAAAAGGAATTTCAGTAGTGCTATATCTAACAATTAATTTTCAAATTAAAACAAAAATAAAAGCACGTGAAATTACTTTTTCGATAAACAATTTGAAAGCAGTGATGGCGCCTTCATTTGGTAATGCATTAAAGAAGTCATTATCAGCAGTTAACAGATACGGAGCTCTATTGTAATTGTATGAACGATTGAAATTCATTTCCAACATCTCCGCAACATCCAAAGGAGAGTCATCATGCTATAAAATAAATACAAATATTTTGGAAGTTAATCTCATCAGGGTTATACATACATTCTTAATATCTCTCTCTAAGCTTGCTGCTTTTGTTTTATTTGAATTTTCTAAGAAATTTGATTAATAAAAAATGCAGAGAAAAGTTTGTTGCTTTTTTCATCTAAATGTTTGTTAAACACTCAAATTATTTAATTAACATTCATGATTTCATTCGATTTCAGCTTTCCAGACAAATCAACAGTGTGATTCATTATGCAAATTTTAATCGAAGAATATTCCTTAAAGGAAATCAACGGAAAAGCTTAAGTTATATCTCACTATACTCTTCGCTATCAATATATTTGATTGAATAGATTCCACTTACAGGCGGAAGTAAACGTAGAATAGATGATTAAATAAGGAGAAACTTACACGAACGGCTTCTTTCAACATAGTGAATTCTTTTTGTGAGCTCAGTGCAGTGAAACGATTTATCGGTATTACCCAAATATTTGGATGAACATTCTTCGGACATTGCCTTGATGAACACTTCCAAGCTATGCTATATGCTAGTGTTTGTGGCCAATATGGTCCACCGCTTGCACTCATTGTATTATCATAAACAAAGCCAAACTTTTCCATCACATCAAATTGATTATCTCCTGAAAATCTTTACCTTATCCTTTTTAAGTGATCATTGGACGATGCATCCAACTCCCCCACATTTGAAGTTAACGGATGTTCATCAGAGAGTATGATAATGATGCAATCAATAAATATAACTGATCCATAATTGTAATTGATACTTTCACTATTTACCTCCCAGCTCGAGCTGTGGTGCTCGTACACCAATAATGTCTGCTGCGCTTGCATAGCTAAAATGTTGCAGTGCATCACGCATCCCAACCATTTCTTTCTTCCAACGTTCCATTGTTTCCTCACCCAAATTTTGATGACTAAATAAAAAGTTGAATATTTTATGATATATTTCCACCGTTCTTTACCATATTTAAAGGAGTTGATAAAAGTAAATGAATGAACTGCTTGTTGAGCAGCAATAACAAAGCAAACAATGGAAAGGAGCCAAAAATAAAGATCCTGCTGGCGTTGTTTGCTATTCAAGACAAAAGAACTTGTGTCTATCATTCTAAATGTTTTTAGCAATTAATTAACCAAAATTCAAGATGACTATTTCTCCCCCCAATTAATGGTATCTACTTGTTACTTCCAAAACATTTATTACATTTTATACTTCTTGACTCAAATTTCAAATTGTTGACTAGCCAAAACCCACGTAATTGAATTCACTGCGACTTCGTGACCATTGCTTATTAACCATTGAGTTTGATCATAATTATTCCATTCATTGGACACAAAAAAGGTACCCTTTATGGGACAGCCATTCGGATTCCTGAATAACGTCACGACAACTATCGAAGTAGAACTAGAAAGCACAAAATTGCAGATCGAAGTTTCATTTTCATTTAAGAAACTACTGGTTACTTAAACAACAAATTTGGATACCGGTACTTCCCACTGAACAATGATTTGTACACGGCGAATGCTCGATCAGTTACCGGACCATCGAATGTTAAGAGAACTATTTGTGGTACATCTCTTGCCAATAATCCTCCAGGAATCTCCAATCCCGATCTTAAAGTGGGACGAGTTATGGATTTAAGTCTTATCTCTTTTAAACGTCTACTTCGTAGTGCTATCGTAAGCTTTCATCTTTATTTTACGCTCTCCTTTTTTTTTGCTCTCTCCAAAAAATTCCCTTTTCATAATTTGTTTTTTACCAATCAGAATTCATTTTCTGCGCAGTTCTGTACCAATACCATTCAACAGATTGATTAATACTCATATTTCTTAAAGCCATTATTGATAACTGATTATATCATCGGAAATGTTGGACTATGGTTTTGTGGTCAATTATTTCTTGATTAAAGTGCAAATGAACATGTATGTTATACGTTTACCTTGAACAGAAGCAGTTAGGTAAGAGACATGAATCAATCGCTGGACAATCCTTTAGTGGTTGCCGATTGGAAATGAATATCGGAGAAGTGACCGTCGTTTTTTGTAAGTATCCTGGCTGACCTATCAATGAACGAGTAAATGATAGTTGCGTCGATCGCAAATTTAATCGCTTGTTTCTGTTGTACTCACAGGGCATATGCATTTCCCCTCCATAGAAAGTAACCTATCAAAACAAACTTTACCATTTATGTATGTTACGCCAAATAACACTGCAACACATTGGATAAGAAGTGTTACTATTTGATTCATGAGTGAGTAGGTTAGAGAGTGGATTTGAGGTGAAAGTTCACTTCAAGAGTAGAAAAAATTGATGACTTCAGATAACGCATGCAATGTAATGCAGAAGTTGCTATCATTTACATTTGTCAATATGCCACGGCACTTTCATTCAGTCAAGGTGGTAAATTTAGCTTTATGAGTGGATTGGAAAATAACAGATTAAATATGCAAACCGTTCAGTATGGATATGCATTGCAATGTACTGATTAAACAGCCATACAACATGTACTTAGAAGTAACGAGAACCACGCTGCACACATTTCCAGAATCAACATTACTTCAGAAGCTAGAATGCGTTGAAACTTAAAGATGAACATTCTAAATTATACACAGTATACAGACATTCTTAAATATGAATATAAAACCTAGCGCAAATTTCACATCAATGCTTTTGGCAATCAAACACTTACCGACAAACTAATCGATTTCGATAGCGAAAAAAAAAAGAAAAAAACAGCTTTTCCAAAATTTTCCTCTGGCCTAGTTTAATGCATATTTTCTCTATATATCCCCAAATTGGACCTGATTTCACAGTTTCTAGATATGTTTATCCGGTTTGTTGTTTAGTGCATTCTTTTAGACAAATATCATTCCCTTGCTCATAAATGAAAGTTGGAAATTGGCCTACAATCGATAGCCTCTGGTATACACAGTTTTCCTTCGGGCTATCAAAAAAAATGGCTGGAAATTTGTTAAAAATTTATACGGTCAATGCGAAATACCAATTTTAGGAGAAATTCTCTGCGGGAAAACTTGCTTAAATGCTGTTTGAATTACTGAAGTTGATCTTCGAAGATATGTAAACTTCTCGCTGAAATTTCAACAATGCACACAATACTCCTTAACACAACCCCAACACGAATCTTCCATACAAATTTTGCTCATTTTATAATTAGCTGGAAACTTGCAAATTACCTTCGGCAACTTCGGAAATTCAACGTTCTACAAAATAGCATTTGGATTAGAGATAAATAAATACTTCAAGAAATTTAAATATTCTACTTATAACTTCGAGTCAACTACTGAGGTCAAAAAAGAGCTTATCCATTCTCTCTTGAGCTTCTTCAGACTTTACGAACTTAGTATACGAATACTTTGACAGATTGCGTAACCTATTCTTGAAACTTGTACCATGGCATCTGCACCAGCAGTAACATGCTTATGTAATTAATGGGACGCATACAGTATCCCAATATATTACATTCTAATGAAAAGACATGAATTCGATTCCAAATGACAGGAAAATCCTGTCAAGTCTGAAACTTTTAAAGCAGGCAATTGTCTCAGCAGTCATTAAAACTGATGAAAAATACTGGCAGTTTTTAAAATTATTAGAAATTTTCTAATTATTGAACTGCAATAATTTTCAAGATAATCAAAATTACTCGTGTTGGAATGTTCTAGGCTTCATGAAATCTTTTTAGCAGTAAGACTCCTTTACTTCTGTAGACTCAGCATTACTGACTCCTTGTTGTTCTTCCCTTGTAGATTTTCACCTAACGTTGCCATTACTACAAATTCTTGTGGCAATTTGAAAAAGAGACATATCATTACTGCTTCACCTAGACATACACAATATCCACAATGACAACTGAAATTTCGTTGACACAAATTGGTCATCATATATGTCGAGCAAGCATACATTGCAACTTTGCTTATCTTACATCTCTTTCTTCCTTTTTTTACCTCTAAACTGTTGAAAAGACATAATAATTATTGATTAAATATAATTTAAGAATACTACAAACATTTCTCTGATGCTTTGCGATGACAAATGCAACATTGTTGAAGATATAACTGCTCATTGGACAGTCGAGTTGACGAAATGTGACCCATCTGTACATGTTGTAATGTAGCTTGCATCGAGATTATTCTTAGCTGGTTCTCCGAGGATTTAACAGTTTACCCATTCAACTATTTCTTTCTTCACTAAAATTCCAATATAGTGCTATAGTCTCCTTATTTTGCGGGTAATGATTATGTGTTAGAGGATATAATTAATTGGAAAGCAACCAATTAATTAATTAATATATTTCGCTGGGATGTATTTCAATCCTTCCGGACATAGTAAATAAAATGAAGCTAGATTTAAAACTAGATAAATTTCAGAAGGTTCTAACTTGGATATTTAGCCAGGTGCACAAATGCATTTGCCAAACACAAGATGAACCACTTCCACCTTGTTCAATTACATCTATTTCCAAGTTGGACTACAAAACTGGTCCATAACTGGTACTCGTGACGGTAGATTATTAATTTGAAAAGAATGTAAAATTTTGATTTTGAACATTTTGGTTCCCTTCCTATCAAATGCTCTTCAGAAAAACAATGCTAACAAGCTTTTTCAAAGGCTCTCTTTGAAAATTAAATTAATTAATTGCCGCATCTTACCCATTGTAACGCTCAATCTGTTATAACTGATAACTTTTCTTCACCCCTCAAATCCTGAAACAACTGATGGCAAATAAAATTTTTAATTTTTCTTTCCAAACCATTTCAAAAAGGAAATATCATAAATTCCGGCGTCTTGATTGGATAACAGGGCACTGCCCGAGTGAACATGTATACTGGTCCTTGGATAGCCTGCAAATTGCGAACATCTGAGCATGAGGGAATGCAATTTGAATCCAGTTCACTAAAATGATTCAATTTTATACATCTGATTTTAGCGGTAGGAAAAATCACTTTCTTTCAATCGATAGAAAGTTTCTATCAACTGAAAGCAATTGCTATCGATGGAGGCAAAAATATAAAACGGAAAGATAAATATTGACTATGGGAATTCAAAAGAAGAGTTGATGAAAAGGTGGGAATATTCAAATATTTCAAAATTCAAAGGAGTTCAAAAGTTGAAAAGTTGGAGATTTTGTTTTTACTGGGCAAAACTTGCTTGGATAAAAATCGGCTAAGTTTATGATAGGTACTGACCATTAATCATTAAGTATGCTACCTCCGGAATACTGGCAAATGCATTAAAAAGCCATCATCACATATTACGTGATAACATGTCGAACTGTTGGCATTGACGTTGGAAGAAAGACCTGTCAAAGATGGATATTAGATAATTTCAACAGAGAGAGAACGACTGATACATATAGAAACATCTTCATTTCCTTATAAAAGCAATAGAGTATTGGATGTTTTACAATTAAAAAATTCGGCAACACTAGATAATACCGCTGCAATAATAAACACTAAAATAATAAACACTTACTCACAACGGTAAGTAATAATAAACACTGAAACATAGTACGACAGTATGATAACCAATGAGATCAAGTTCTCATACTGATACTTATATTTTATCAAAACCTGAACACTTGTATTACACATACATAAACCGCTATTTTCACAAAAATTATGAAGAAATGTTTGAAACAAATATTGGAAGCTTGACATTTTAAATAATAACATTTGTCACAGTTAATATAAAATTATTTCTCCGAGAGAATAAAGTAAAGTAAAAGTAACACAGGTCGATATAGTTATTTACATTGCTTAAATGAGTTTCATTTAAAATATTTGGTTTAAAATACTCTCTGAATACCATCATTCAAAACGTAATGAAACGGTAACTGATTTAGAGATAGGCTTGGGTTCAGTTCTTTACCGAAGTAGTACAATTCAAAAGCATTTATAACTAAAATGGCCATCGATATCCTTATTCACATGCTTTTGTTCAATCTCATCGTTACTTCTCAAACACCATTTCCAATGGCTTAATGAGTAATTATCAAAATTAGAAAGCTAACTTGTAAAGTCCGAATCAATATGAGTAAATAGAATAGGTCGGGGTCGGCAAATTGGCACACCGGACGTTGCGTACATTCCATTTGGGCATTTGCAAACGCCTTGAACACAAGTAGAGCCACCAATGCACAACATATTTTCAACACACACATGATTTGGGAACACCAGACGATACTGTACCATACACTGACCATTTACTGCTACCTGAAGGTTATTGCTGTCCAAAGATCGTCTGTAAGCAAGACTTTTGCATTTTAAAAAGCGGTAACAAAGGTTAGTCGCGATATAACAGTGGAAACAGACATGTTAAACAATGGGAATGATGTCTATTTAAAGAGCGAAAAAATATTTCGTAAAACCAGAACTCAAGCAAATCTATTTGTTGCGATCTCTGCTGTAGAAGAACAACAGCGCTGCATTTGGGAAATTGTCTACTTTTTGACTGTAAAAAGGAGTAAAACAGTTAGTAAAGAAATTAACATAAAAAATCTGAATATATGTTAGTAAGCAAAGTAGAAATCTTCACGGAATAATAAGTCATTCTCAGTGGATTAAGGGAAATTTATTGACAAACCTGATTTGAAATGCATTTGCAATAATTGTCGATGCATGTTGAACCGCCTGTACATTTCGTATAGCTCACTTCACAGACTTCGCCCGGTGCTCCTGAATGTTAATTAGAAGGTAGTTTTTAGCATCAGTATACTAAGGTACTGTGGGTCTATTTACAGCGATACTCCTTTATATCCAGTATCTAGCTGTACCATAACATGGAGCGTATTGCGTTCGGGTAATGATATTCTGAAATTCTATCTTTCATTTTCACACGTTGAATTCTACCGCGTAAGAACTACTTACTTCGTTTTAAACTTTATGGATATATATCAGGCGGTGTAAAATAGCAGAAAATTTTTCTGTCGAGGAATTCCCACAGTTGTTTTCTGTATAATTTTGTACCATTACATTGAAATGGTCATTCGGACTATCTAATGCTTTCTTAACTTGACTAGCTTTGCAATGCTCATCATAAATTTTCTACTACCCACTTTCCTTCATCTGTTACCAGTCGTTTTGAAAAATTTCTTCAAAAAAAAAAATACAATGCTTTTTCACTTTAGTCGAAATTTTCAAGAACTTCGTGACCTTAGTTGCTGAGAAAACTAATTAAGATATTGACCTTGTGAATTGATGGAAGTGCAGATACCATCGATAATTCGTTCTCCGCTTAGACAAGTGCAAAAACCACTCGCACATATTGAGTTACCTGAGCATTGTATTCTTATGTTATTTTCATCGCAAGGTCCACCAGCATTCACTAGAACTTGTTAAATGACTCGATATTAACGAGTGACCTCATCAAAAGTTTTCGTCGGTAAATAGTCCAGCAAAAAGACGTAATCATTAACATTCGTTAATATCATAAAACGCATTTACCCATCTGTACGTGTTCAAGGGGAACGTAATCTTTACTATATTTTAGTTGATGGGCACTTATTTGCGTTGAAGCGCAAATGTGACCAGTAGGACATACACAGAAGCCTTTCAAGCAATATGTACCATCACGACATATCGTTGGATCAACTATACAATCAGTATTTTCTCCTCCTGGAAAAAAACTGTTAGATTATAAAGGTCAAGGGTGAATAATCGCCATATGGAATGTACAATCATCCTGTAGAATCGCCAACCTATCAAAAGCTTACGAATGGAGAAGCTCAAAGCATTGTCTGAGAATCCAGATAAGCTTCTGATATCTATCATTTTTTGGATCATTAAGTGTTTAGGCAGCTAGTTCAAGTCTCCTTCAAATTGTATCCGTAAATGAGTTTAACAAAGAATAATACAGTAGGCAATGAATACATAATATGCCTGATTATTCATATCATTGATATGCAAATGCTGAAGCATAAGAAAAGATAGTGTTAAAATAACATCCATGTGAATCGAATAGATTAATGTAGAAGTAGCCATAACAGAATGTTATGGCTATTCATCGTTTATATTATGTTGTATTACATTAGTTTATCCATTTCATTTTTAAGTTTTTGCGAAATTCCCTCCCAAATATTCACAGAAAACACCTTTCTCTTCATATTCATGCATATAAGCATCTATATTGAGCGTAGAAAATGCTCAAATTTGTTAAATTTCGACCAATAGATTGGCCATTAAACTGTTCTAATAAAAATTTTTGTACTATTCTAGAAGAAATGTCTTATTTAGTCGTTGTACCGAAATATCTTAAAGTAAAGTAAAAATAAATACTGAGAAAACTTGGAAAAAAAATATTCAATCTGGAACAGGAATTAAGAGCTCAGTATTTTTAAGGCATGCTGCAAGAAAGGCGTTTCGGCAATCACTCCTTTATTTTTGTCGCATCTGATAAAGCTATTGAAGATAGTGTTGAAGGATAGGAAATCAGCTCTCTGTTTCGATGTCTTTGCAGAACAAGCTTATAGTTCAAACTGTCTATGACCTAAAGAATTTTATCACTTCATCTTTCCACAGATTACTAAGGTGAATCAGAGCATAATAGCAGTAGGCATAGAAGTGATTAGATTGCCATATTCAGAAAAGAATTTGTTAAAAGTTTATGCAAAAAATCACTGTACAAACCCTGATCATTCCCAGTGTACCGCTCTTCTTGACAAGAAAACTGCAAAAGTCACACCGACACTTGTCTCGAACGCACTGATTGAATTGTCGTGCACTACAGTAACCACGAAATAAAATTTCTCCTGCGTTAATGCTGTTTTGATAAAATTATCATGCTTTGTTCACGAATCTAATTAATTCGATTTAACTTTAAATTCTCTGAATAAGCCTCCTCTCTACCAGAGAGACTTCTAAGGAATAGCGCAGTTGTAGTTTGATTTAAAGAAAGTCATAGTTACTGTTTAACTTTAAAAAATAAAAAAAATATCACACCTTCCCTTTTGCAAACAAATTGAGATTAAAAATTGCTATTGAATCGAGTAACAATGGAGCACAAATTAGGATGTCAGATCTAATTCAACTTTTTATATTTTGCTTCCCTTCTGCAAGCCTCTTGGAAGATTATTCACAATGACCTGAAGACCATCACGTGAAAACGAGATCGACTTAGTGTTGTGCTTCATAGTTGAGTGAATTTCCCAAGTATTTGTTTAAAAAACTGATGAACTTTAGAAAGTAAAAGTCGCGACAGATAGGTATGTTAAATTGAAGCAGAAATACAAGCATTAGTAGCGCCGATAAATAATTAAGTGTCAAAAGGTCATACAACATAGCACACCATGCAATACAGCACCGCATAGCTGATAATGTCCGGCAAGTGCTATGTGAGCGTGAAAGACGTCCAAGTTTTAATTTCTTAGATCTTACAAGAGTCAACTTTGTGGTGAATCCAAAAGTGCTTTGCTGATGAGGGAAATAATAATGTACACAGTTGCAGTCTAAGAAGTATCTAGGGAAAGCCATAAAATACCAAATTTAAGGCCTAGATTGATTCATTTCAGGATTTTAGGAAGACATTATAGCAACTGATGCAAGGGACAAACTGTTCTCACCACGAAGAGTTTTAGCACATTTATTATCGACGATGTTATTCCGTCCAGGCGGGCAGGTACACATCCCTCGGATACACTTTGAAAATCCAGTGCATATTTCTCCATTAGTACATGGCATCCCTGGACTTGATTCTTAAAAATATGCAAATTGCAGTAAGATCAAAATTTGAATTTTACCGTTTCTCATTCCCTTCGTTCTCTGGATGATGTGTTTAATATATCTTTCTTCGATGTAAATAAATTGACATTTGACTTTTGGTGCATTAAAATATCTCTGCAAGTCTTATCATCCAATTTGCAAACAAGAAATTCTGATTGTGAATTCAAAAATGGAATGGAATGCTGAAAAAATATTATAAAAGATGGTGTAGAAGGAAACAAACCAGTATTCACTGGTATGCAGAAGCCATTTCGAGACATGGTAGTACCTGAGATACAAGAGCACAAACCGTCGGTGCATTGAGCCCAAGAAGGGCATTGCCGGGATGTTTTACATCGAACTATAACAATAGACTACTTCTTTAATAAGAGTTCAAGTTAAGCTGAAAGTGATATGCTTTCAACAATTTTGGAAATTCAGCTAAAAATCGGAAGATTCTCAAAGGAAGACTTAAAGCAAAAAAGTAAATAGGAAGCAATGATTCGAGTAATACCTTGGAGTTTGTTGTTAACGGGACTTTTTCTGTACTTACGCCTTTTCATTAAATTAGAAATATTGTGAATGCGTGAAACACATGTAACCTCAAGCATTACATCACTACATCGATTTTCAATGCATCTTAAACCGTTTGTGCAGTAAGCTTTTCCATTATCATAATAAGCACCCGAGTGCGATGTTGCTAGGTAAATTAATGTTTGGTAAGCTACTGAGGCGAAGTTACTGTTAACAATTAGCACATTGTCCTCTTCTAAATGTCGCCAAATTAAGTTGAAAGATAAATAAAATAAAAACGAACTACCCATCGACGTTACAATTTTAGGCTCTATCTGTGGTTGCGTCGTTGGCCATACTTCTCCCGTACTCCAAACTCGATTCGTTGGAGTTGTAATAACTTTTACAGATGAGATAGATTGAATTGCAGTAGTTGATGGTAGCAGGCCGGTTGTTTGTGAATTTACCGGTAATGTTGAGCGTTCTGTAGGTGTTAATAACGAATAACTGCCGTGCAATAATTTCTCGAACTGTCGCAGGCGACTTACTTAAATTGTTAGAATGGCAAGCAAGCAAGGGAAGAAATATTTATCATGATATGATAAGAAGGATGAACCATCCTGAAACACAACAAATCAATATCCTATAAGAGTCCGCAATCGATATCGCAGTACTCTGTGGTAAATTTCTTTTGTAGAACATTGTGCTTTAAACTTTTGTAAAAAAAAATCAAAAACTTGAATTTCTATAATTCAATTATCATGTCTATTTGTTAGGGTCGTTGGATCTGTGTTTAACCTGAAAGTTCATTGATATTAGAGAAAAATGATTTTTTTTATAAATTTACAAAAACTAAGTTGTTAGTATGAAGCGAAAAGAAGTGTGCAACTTACCGTCCACCATAAATTTGCATTCTGTATCGGAGATGCGAGTGCCAAGAGGACATTTGCAAACACCGTTACGACAAACGGAGAAAAACAGACAAAGTGTTGTTTCGTTGCAAACTCCGCCTGATATGTTTACGATTACTTCAGTTTGCCGACTCCTCGGGATACGTTCAATGCCAGCGTCGATTAGTGGTAAAACTGTTAACATCGTAGAATCAAAGCTTGTCTTATTCGGCTCAACTTCTATCCCTGGATCTACCATTTCATTTGTTATCATTTCACCAATGTTGCTGTTCTCGGCGATATTGTTGCTGATAGCAATAACTGTTGTTGTTATTGTTGGTACTATTGCTCGCGGATAAGTTTCGAAAAATGGTACTGCTCTTGGGACACACTCTGTACTTCCAGATATATCATGTCCAGGAAGGCAAATGCATATTCCATTGTGACATACTGCATTACGCATCATGCACTCGTGATTTGACGTACATCGTCTACCAATACGATCCACTAAGGAAAATGCTTATTAAGGAAGAAAACTGAGGATACTTCTTCCTTTCAGTCTTATTCAGAAAAGAAAATGATAAAAGAAAAAGATGAAAGCAAGTGATTCAAATGTATATTAATGACAGCAAGAGAAGAATGCCCTAGTCACTTTTGCAAGTTCAACATTTACAATAAAAGGAATCCAATGGGCAATTTCACTGTGTGCTTCATATTTTGTTTAAAACACTAGGAATTATTATAGGAAATGAAGAAACCTTTCTTATGTGAAATCGGGAACATTCCCTGACATAGGCCACTTTTCATAATCATATTAAAAGGACAAACACATCGGTTGCTAAAACAGTAAGAGCCGCCTTTGCAGTCATCGTTACTTTCACAACGATTCGTATGGACGGTTACTCGAGTTAAACTGATTATGGAATGGTTCGATAGTTTCCTCAGCATATCCTTACTTTGATTAAGAATTTTCTGTGGCGGAAGTGTGAAAACCGATTGTTCTAAACATAGGTAAATTGAAAGGCTGGAAAATGGCATGCGTATATTCTCATGCTTCATTCTAACTGGAAGTATCATAATAACGATATACCATTAATAAATTTACATCTTCCATTTTGCAAAATACTATCCGCAGGACATCGACATATTCTATCGACGACACTGCAGAATGATCCACCGATGCAAAGCTCACCTCTGCTACAGGGAGAATTAGGCTCAGCTAAAAACAGGAATACATTAAATTGTAAATGAGGTTACAAAATAAAGAAATTTTCAATTTTGTGGTGCTTCAATTTCAGAAATAACGATCGGTTGATTGCTGATGTAAAGAATGAAGAAATACCGATAGAACAACGGACAGGGATGAGGAGCCGTTGAAAGCCAATGGAAATTTACCTTGATAGCTGGTATGTTTCTTAATTTCAGTATCCTCTGTAACACAGTTACCGTCCTTAGATATTTCACCATCAGGGCATAAGCATGAACCATTAATGCAAACATAATTTGATACGCAAGTTTCACCATTAAGGCATGATTCTCCAGGTTCGGCAAATACCATTTGACATCTACCATCCGTGAAAATCTCACCTGCTGGGCAATGGCATCTATAAAATTATTCAGTTTATAGTACTTTGTTAAATGAACAATAACACAGAAGTTCTTTTCAGGCTCTACACTGCATTTATTACCAACTTTTTATCGGTTCCCCAGCTAATATCTTTTTTCGTTCAAAAATACAAAATATATGATTGCAAAATTCTAAAAATTTTGGTGGAAGCCATTCTCCAAATTCTATATTATTTTTGCACCTTACAACTTAAAGAAGGCAAAAATGTTTACCTGCTTGCGATGCATTTCGCACCGGCTATACAGTCGGTATTAGTAATACATATTTTTATTGGTGATATTAGCGTACGAGAAAACATTGATATGCAGGATTGGTCCCGGTATTGATGTCCATCTGAAATGAAGCCATTCTTATAAACAATCTGCTTTAACTCACCGGATAAGGAAGTAAGATGAAACTCCCAAGTGAGATACCACACGGACATGAACATGAATGGAAGGATACTTAATTAGCTCTAATTTTAAAAACCTACAAACCTTGGCAAACACAAAGACCAATATTATGATCGCAGTAAGAGTTTCCTTCACATTGCAAAGGATTTGAGCATTTACCTGTAATAAAATTTGTTATCCAAAACACATAGAAACTTTTCTAAATTCCATTGAGATTTCAATCGATGAAAGCAAACATAACTTCCTTGTCAATCAAATAACATAAGTGGACATTGCTAGAATCTGAATATTGTCTGTAAAGTTCCAAAATGACATGCACCTGTCGTTGGTATACATTGTCCATCACTCGAGAATGTTCCTTGTGGACACTGACAAATCCCATCAATACAAAATAAATCACCATAGCATGTCTCTCCATTTATGCATGTCTTTTCATAGTTTTCTGCAAAGTAAAGAAGTTCTGAACACTACATTCTATTATATTTTATGATATCTCTCGTATCTTTTGATTTTCAACACTCAAATTTTTGATTTCTGAATTCAGTTCTCAGATGCCAAATTCTCAAGGCATCATTTTACCAAGAAAAAATATTTTTACTGATCGACTGAAATCAGTCGCTTATGACATCTCTTGCCACGCGTAAATACGAAACTTAATGAAACAACTAGAAAATGCGCATACCATTTTGGTCTTCTTTACATACACCATTTTGGTTGGTTGTACCAGCTGGGCATAAACAGATCTACAAGCAGAAATTATTTCTTATTTCCAGAATCTATTATTCATTATTTGCATTGCTTTCTGGAAAGTAGAAGGGGATATTATTAATATACGCTGAAAAATATCTCAAAATTGAACCGATTTAGTACATGTTGATCCGCCACTGCAAAATTCTCCGTTAGCACAACTGGCCCCGACACCAGTTAACATGAAGTTACGACACTTCCCATCCTATAACTGCCTTTTAAAATTGAAACATTAAGTATGAGACATTTTAGAATTGATACTGAGGAAATATCAATATTTATTAAGAGCAATGTTATATCTAATAATACTAACCTGCACAACCATACCCACTGGGCATTGACAAATGCCATCAATGCAATTTGCATTTTCGAGACAGATTTGAGTAGAATTACAAGGAGAACCAATGGGAACCTTTCGTTCCAATATACATTCACCGGATTTCGGCAGTGTTCCAAACGGACATCCGCATGAGCCATAAAGACAGCTTGAACCACTTAAACATCGTTCACTTCCCATTGGGCAAGCACTTGTCACTGATAATTAATTGAAATTTTATAAATCCAGTTTTTGAGAAAAAAGTTAACTTATGGAAAAAATTTTAGTTTAGAAAAAACTTTTTTAGATAAACTTGGATGCTTTTATAACAACATATATCTGAATAAACCCATATTTAAAACCGAAAATTCAAAATATCAGAAAATTCTCAACGGATTTAACTCCTCCAAAAGACCTTGTCTGCATATTCCATTGTTACCGACGACATGATCTGCAGGACAATTTTCAGCACACCTGTCACCTATAAACACTTTACCCAAGGAGCAGCGACAAATGCCTCGAATACAAATAATTTCAGCGTCACTCGTTTGACATTGTGATGAGTACTGACATTTCCCTCCTGGTTTAATAGCTAAAAAACCAGAACTTGGAAAGTGATACTTCCTACAGTATAAGTATATCAATTTGAAGTGATAGTGAATTCAAAAGAGTGTTTTCAGCGCCAACAATAGTGCATCACTTTTTTACACTAGACAACGATCATACGAATTAATTTGTTATGCATTATTAGAAAAGGGAAGTATACCTGATATACATTTTCCAACTACTGCAGAAAATGTCATATTTGCTTGACATTGCTCCCCGCATATTCCGTCAATCGGTACAAGCTTCTCAGGACAGGTACACTTATGTTGAGAACAGTATGCGCCATCAGCGGCTGCCGAACATTGTATTGAATGACTGCAACCATTTACACCGGGTGATAGCACTAAAAATTGATAGATTTAGAAGATAACAGCTTTTTTGTCTCCTAAGGCATGTAAAAGGTGCAACCAAAGCATCACATTAGGATAATTCCTTTAAAATTGTAGTTAGTATAACCGTTAAAGTTAAGCTAGGTAATCCCCGTCGGAAAAACTCCGAAAGTCATAATGCAAATTTTCTGAAGGATTACCGAAATTAAAACTATGTTCAAATGAAATTTTCACAATATCCAACAGACGGGGTGACGAAATCTTGTAAGTAAAATTAAAGCACTGAAGAGGATATAAACTAACAATGGACAGCGTAAAACAAAAACGTCGCAGTACCTACACAATGAATAGTGCCAAGGGCTATCCATACCTCTATGATAGCGCCCCGATGAAGCTTACAAAACTTCTCCCTAATCCTTATATATGTATATATGAAAAAATCCCGAGACCGACAGTTCAGTTTTTACAATCGAGCAGACGATACATCCTCTACACTTATTCTCCACGACTGAACCGCAAACAACGACATCTTTGCATATCCGCCACCACTGTACAACAAACTACGATATTCTTTCTATTCGCTAGAAATACATTTCCCGTAACATATTCCAACTCAACGACCTATCAATTAGCTGACTGTCAAATTATTATCGAAGGCAACGACAAGGAATTTGTTAGTT